ATTTTTTTAGACATCCTGTGGACTGAACCACTGATAATTGAAACGTTTTCTCAACACCAAATTGGAGCCCAATCTATTCTGAATATTTTCGTTTTTTATTCATCTTGATATCTCAATTATTCAAGAAAATACAGAGTTTCAAAGGAAATGTGGATATTGGTATCAATTTTACACCTCAAAACTCAAATTGGATCTGAAAATGTGTGGTTTCTTGACTAACCTAACCTAACCATGACTAAACCTCTGCCATAGGAGACAAAAGCAGTAAAATCAAATTGTTCATTTTGTTCACCTCGGCGATATAGTCTTTCCCTGCCATCTATTGAATAAGAACATTGGCCCACTGGTCATTTTCAATTAATGCTACAGCCCTCGCCACATCAGTAGGAGTCAAATCTCTCACGTTGAATTTTCATTAATCAAATTTATGAATTGTGAATCGCTTTGACAATAATTAATGACATTAACAAAATAGCCAACGTTGATTAACAAAAATAGCATTTCGAAAGAATATTGGAGCAACTTTTATCACCCCTGCATATTTATGAGAGTATTCGTATGTAAATCGATAGGTAAAACTGTGAACAATTCTCATCTTGAAGTAAAAATTCTCACAGAAACAAGTTGAAAAACGACACGTTCTCCCCAGTTCGAGTTTCGGGGTGGTAAAATTAATACCAATATCCACCTCTTCTTTGAAACTCTATATTTCCTTGGATAATTGGGATATGAAGATGGATAAAAAACGAAAATATTCGGGATAGATTGGGCTATAATTTTGGTGTTGGAAAATCGTTTCAATTATCAGTGGTTCACTCCACAGGATATCTTAAAGAATACCGAAAAATCCGTACTTTCTTTACACCCCTGTGTATGATATAAATACGAATCGTTTGGAGGTGGTTATTTCTCAGATGTATTTGTGAAGAATGAAGCTACAATTCGTGAAAAACAAATTCGAATCCAGTGATCGGTTCGAGAGAAAATTGATGTCAAACTTAGTGTAAATTTTACTTGTTCCCCTAATTGTGCCAGTGTGTGTATAATAAATACCTAATACCTACTCATAAATAGATTTGTCCACGAAAATTGTGAATATTTGTCATTGGAATATGTGTATGTCTATCTCAACAAGACTGAAAAATAAATACTGTTGATTCATGCGATAAGGCAATGCCGTTATCACATTTACCTTAATGGTATAATTGTCGAGTTATTACCATCACAGCTTTGTGAGTCATCAATTGAGAACTAACGTGACTTCATTTTGACGTATAGTGATCATTTAAAAATTGAAACATTTTTAACAATTTTGATATGACTAAACTGGAGTTGAGAATAAATCATCATTTGAAATGCAAATCGGTTATCCTGAGTTAGATAATATAGATATTTTTATACCAAAGTGATAATGATATAACTTGCTATAGCTTCTGCATGCTTACCTACTAATGCCTACATGGTATATACGTAGATAACAAATAAAAAACGGCCCGATTGTAATCCAGTGTTTGAAGTTATATAATAAGACTCCGATTGTGAATAAGATTCACTTCGTACTTCTTTGACTTTAGCTATATCCAACAGTGGCGGCTCCTCAGAGGAGGCAACGGAGGCTGAGCCTCCTCAGAGATTCTCCTTAAATTGATATTATCTATACTTTCTCATTAAAAGTACACCAAAATACATGGATTTTATTACCTGTCTTCAGGTAAATATTTTCGAATTGGCAACAGTGCTTGCCACGCATCACACGTTGAAATCTGCAAATCACGCGTGAAATATTCAACTTGGCAACATCTATAGGAGGCTAGACTCCTTCACAATGCGTAACTCACGCGCGCAATGCAAATGCCCGAATACGCCCGAATAACACGTGTTTGTCGTGGTGTGTCTCGTCGCGAATTGCGGACAATCGCGAGTGCATTAATTATGTTTATGTTAGGTTAATGGTTAGGAGCTCTATACATTTCTGAAAAATGAGTGTTTTGAACGATTGCGATTTAGTGGAATACTTTTTGGTGAACCCATTCAGTGCTTTGTCTTATGAAGATAAATTGATTGTGAAAAACAAACGTCCGACACCGGAATTGAAAAATCTGATTGTAACAGGTAACAAACAAAATCGTTCGTTCAATTCTGATAATTATGAAAAATATATCTGGTTGACGGGATCTAAGGTAAGGAATAAGCTATTTTGTTCGTACTGCGTATTATTTTCAACCGATAAGTCGTCATATTGGGGGCGATTAGGATATAATGATTTGAAAAATTTGCCTCGCGGATTGGATAGACACTGCAAATCACAGGAACACATCTCTTCAAGTATTAAGTTCAGGTTAACTGGTAAACAGAATGTCATTAAAGCTATTGGTTTGGGTGAGTTGTAGAGAGTTGTTTTTCACAATAAATCTCATATCATTCAGCCTCCTCTGTCATGGAAGTCACGAGCCGCCACTGATATCCAAATAATGGATAATATTTTCAAGGGTTATATTCCATATTGTGAAGCCCACTTAAAAACTGTAGTATCAATAATGTCGAAGGTGAAAAAAATCGCTGTCACTGTCAACATTAAGAAACTGTTGAATGGTCCTATTGAAAATAATAGCAAGAAGCCCTTCGTTTTTCAAACAAAAAGACAATAGCTACCAACAAATATCCATATACGTATTAATAAACAATACGGATCATAACGGATGCCAGGATGAAGCCAAAAATATGAAACAAATGAATATCCATAAGGATTTGGTGGCATGATACGCATGCGCCATGCGCTATTATAGTAGTCATCAAAGACATGCGTTTCGGTGGACAATGACGTTTACTAGCCTTTCAATCAAAGCAGTATGTGTCTGATCGTTATCTCACTTGTCCTTATGGATAGTCATTTGCCTTCAAAAATCGGCTTCATGTTTCGCTATGGAAACAGATAGAGATTATCCGTATTGATTTATTAATACGTATATGCAAATATCACGAAATCTCAAACATTTATCAAGTGGGCATATGGTCTATTTGTATATCCCATTTGGAGTAGAGTTCATTCCCAATTGGAATGTCGCACTTTTCTGGCTTAATTAAGAATTCAGGGAGTATCATCCCTAGGTACACACGATATTCCTCGAACATGATAGGGATTTACTTTTGTGCACCCCAACAGATTTAAATAAAGTTGTAACTTTCAATACATAAACAAAAAGGGGAGTCGGACAGTTCGACCACGGGCAAGGTACCTGTTTTAAGTACACCCATCAGTTCGACCACGACCGCTCTGGTTGTATTCTAAGAATTAAAACAATAATCACTATTTTCTTAACATATATATTATTTATTATTTAGGTGAATTATAATAAGTCATAATTTTTACAAAATCTTCTTGTGATAAAAGGCCATTTCTATAATAATATTCAGATATCTTAATTTTAAAATATTTTTTTTTCTGTGTTTTAATATATGTTTCTGCTTGAAAGTTTATTAAGATACTCACGAAATCAAATGAACTTGGGTGAGAACTATAAAAATTAGAATTATAATGAGAATGAAATGATTCACACGCGTTTGTGGTCCTGTACATACTATCTGTAGTACATCAAGCCCAACTTGGGGGAAAACTACTTTCTTCATAGATATAAGTTTCTACGATATAATCGCAAAATTTCAATGACTTGGATTACTGGGCTTTATTGAATGCATTTCTTCAGAAAAAAGTTTACTACTTCATTAGGGTCTAAAAATGGAAGCCAAAAAAAAATAATTTAAGAAAATTGCCTATTTCTGAGTTTTTGTTCCGATATTCTGTGACTAAGCCCAAATTTCGAATTTTACGATACCACACGATTGGCACAAATGGAATCTACATCCTATAATTTTTATATTCGGCCACATTATTGAACAAGCGTTATGAATTGCCGTCAAAATCAACAATGACTGTTAAAGGTCTCAATATGAGATCCAATGTTTTACATCTTTCATTTAACAGTTGAAATAATTTTAAATAACTTGAGCTGTTCTTGTTTGGTAACAAGCAAAAAGCAACAGGTATATAATAATACTCACTTCGCAATTTGTTATCAATGCGCGAACCTTGTCATTTTTTTGGCGTTTGTAGAAAAACTAAATTAACTAGATACTTATGAAGGATAATTATGCTTACTAGAACGTTTGAACGTTACTGAAAGAATTCTATTGAATCGATTAGAACATGAAATGTTAATCTGGTCGAACTGCAGGGTGGGCTTAACTAGACCTTTTTCAAAAAAGGATTAATACAGGTACTCGTGGTCCAACTGACCGGTCCCCACAAAAAGTTGTCATATTGAAAAGAAATTTTGAAAAACAAACTTGTCTATTCACTTGCCTATGTTTACACATGCATATGTTATCTTGATTGGCATCAATTCAAGCGTTATTTTTTAACTCCGATACATCCTATGGCAGGCTCGACATCCTGGTAAGCATTATTTCAAGATTTGCTACTACAGCCCACTACTAACGAATAAGTCCTCAAACATGACGAATCTTAAAATAATGCATCTCAGGATGTAAAAGCTTTCGGAGGAATTAAGCGTTTGAAGAAAAGAATCGCCCGGCCCGGTATAAAATAATGAAAACTGTATATACCGAGGTATCTACAGAGTATCATTGAAATAAATAAAGAGCTCTAGGTATACTATGAAATGGCACCATGAACGAAAAAATTCAGGTATCAAAAGAAAATTTGGAGCATGATTACTTTTTCCGCCTGAAGCAATTCTAATATCACCTCCGTATGAATTTCTTTAGAAAACTACACTCACGCGGATTTCAATGATTACACATTTAGAAGAAATCTAATATCTTGGGAATATATTTTGTAAGACCATATCAGTGAAAACAAAAAAATGCCCACTGTTCCGGGCAATAAGCGAATCACATTCTGGGTTGTGAGTATAAATATCTGTCATTGATAGAATTTGACAACTGGGTACATATATATAAACCTTAATTCCGATACCAACCCTGAAAAACTTCATTTTTTCTCCAAAACTCAGAACTTCAGGTCTTTTCACATGAGAAGAACTCTTTGTAAACGAGCCGAAATCTCCGTTTTTCTTCATAACTTCACTATAAAAATCGTCTAGTCGATGGAACTATCACTTCCCGCCCTAAACAGAGTCTCACATTGTAGCGTAGGTAATCTGTACGAGGACTACTGAAGGTGAAATGGTTGAGGTATGCTTTATTATACCTAGATTTTACCTGTCGCATAATATAGTAGGTATATCTATCTTATCTGATAAAAGGTTCGCACAAATTCCGACATCCGTCATAAAAGTTTTAAGTTATCTCTATACTCTATAGATATACGGTACACGTGACGAATGTGGAATACCCCAGGAAGTGAAAAGAAAAAATAATGCCAAGGAAATTCATAAAAAATATAGACTGGATATAAAAACGAGCCTATACAGTCTGTCCAAGATAAGGTTGCACAGCATGGGGATCTCGGAAACGGTAGGAGATACGAAGTCGGTTAAATGGGGAAAAAGTTGCGCATTCGGAGGCTCATACCAACAGCCTTCGAAAATTTTCAAGTTTTCCAGTTATATCGAAAAAAGTGAAATTTTGGAATATCTATTTTATTTTTTTTCTCCGTTATAATTAGAGATACAGAAAAACTGAAAATACTTTGTCATAGCAACTTTTGATGACGTTTAACGTGGTGATACCGATTTTACTATGCGACGTTTCGTATTCGTAGAATCATCATCAACTTTTGTTTTTTAAATACGGCCCTGATAATTCTTTCACAGATTCTGAAACCTTTTTTATTCAATGTGTTTCGACCTATTTTTAGCCATCATCAATGTTTTTTTCGAAATTCCAAAGGAAAAATGCCATCAGTGATTATTCAGTGTCAAACATTGATGGACTAGTTATTCAATACTGAATTGTGAAAAAAAAATCCACTAAATTATTCAATGCAGCGCTTCGAATTGTTTATGAATTGTATTCATATTTCAATCCGAAGGAGCTTGTCATAATTAAATTTTTCGAACTAATTATTCCTATAAGTCCATCAATCGGAACTAGTTGATGAGGTATTAGTTTGTTGGCTAATTTTCCTTCAAAATAAGTGGAACTGATGGCATTTTTCCTTTGGAATTTCGAAAAAAACATTGATGATGGCTAAAAATAGTTCGAAACACATTCAAACCACCTTGTATAATACATGGTTGAATAAAAAAAGCTTTCAGAATCTGTGAAAGAATTATCAGGGCCGTATTTAAAAAACAAAAGTTGATGATGGTTCTACGGATACGAAACGTCGCATAGAAAAATCGGTATCACCACGTTAAACGTCATCAAAAGTTGATATGGAAGAGTATTTTCAGTTTTCCTGTATCTCTAATAATTACGGAGAAAAATAAAATAAAATAGAGATTCCAAAAATTCACTTTTTTCGATATAACTGAAAAACTAAGAAAAATTTTGAAAATTTTCGAAGGCTGTTGGTATGAGCCTCCGAATGCGCAACTTTTTCCCCATTTAACCGACTTCGTATCTCCTACCGTTTCCGAGATCCCCATGCTGTGCAACCTTATCTTGGACAGACTGTATATACTTTATTTGGTCAGCTATGGAAATGACTTTAACATTTGTTTTGATTATTAACTCGTTATTAACCCGAGTATCAACCTCAGACGTTCAACTCGATATTATAGTGAAATTAACAAACTGTTAAATTAGCTATGTTGAAGTTTGAGGACGTCCAACAAAGCCTGGCAGATGAAGACACCTTGCAAGAGACTCTTTTCGATATAAAATCGAGTAATTCCTTCCAGTAGTTTGAAGAAATCTTTGATCAGAGCCTAGTTCAATATTCATAGATAGTCGACTGGCATGGTTTCGTTGCTCCAATCAACAAGTTTTTCTCTTCGAACATATTAGTAACCTGATTTTGGTAAAAACTTTATATACATGTGAAAAATTTCACAAATAATTAGATTTCTAAAAAAATTTTAACAACACATGTTTTGCTAACACAGTAGAATACTCAACATACAATAAATCAACCTAACTTTGACACACACTCGCCTGTTCTACCATTAACCTAACCAAACTTAACATTGACTCCTCTAACTATACAGGGTGTTTCATAGGTAAAGGGAAATATTTCAATGGTAGATAGGGGTCACCAAGGTGGTTCTGAAAATACCATATTTGATAGGTCTTAGAGTCTTCATAACGGAGATACAGGGCGATTTATCGATTTCGAATAATTATTCATTCGTCTACATGTATTGACCTACCCAGTATATTTTTCTCAAATTTGGTAGGAAGCTCATACTTGGGACTTTAAATTTATTCACCTATCGGGCGGAGTGAAAATCCAGGTTCGACTTCGGGAAAAATTTACAGGTACAATACTTTCATTGAACTTAGGCACAATATTTTCATTAAAATTCGGTCTTGAAAAGAGTGTTTGCAAATATTACATATTCCTCCTAAGAAAACAAATTCGAATGCCGCATGAATTGTTGATGTGTAGTTGATCGTTGAGTTTGTTAGTTTCTAATTTAAAATGATTTTATTTTCGACATATGAAATTTCGAACTATCGTTTTCTTTTATATAAATCATAAAACATATGTATATAGTAGAAGTCCATGATATCTCAAAGTTGAGTAAATGGATGAAGTAGTAGAAAAACTCCCAGTCTTCTCCACAATCCTTTCAATGAAAATATTGAACGATTTTAGGACATGTTTCGAACCTATATAAGTTCATCTTCCGCTAAATGCAATAAATCTACAAAAGATATAGCTTGAATTAAATGGTTGAGAAAAAGTTAATAAAATGAAACTCCTGTTTTGCCTTCAGTTTTTTGTTTGGAACTGAAATTTAGGTTTAAATTCCGAATCATAAATCTACGATTCGTTCGGAATTTCACAAAAATCGTACAGTAATTAGAAAAGTTACAGGGCGATCAATTGGGAACGTCTCGTTTGACCAAATTTTCGATTCGCCCAATTTTCGATTCACACAATTTTTATTTCACTCTATTTTCGATTCACCCACCGTATCCGAACATACCCGAAAGATGCGTTATTGTCAAATAATGCCACATTTCCTCGGATTCAATGAAACGGGAATTATCGACATTCATTTCACATTTCAATATGTCGTTGAGCCAACATTTCGTTTCACTCTATTTTCGACTCGCCCAATTTTCGATTTGCCCAATTTTAGATTCGTCCAATTTTCTATTCACCCAATTTTCGATTCCCCCAATTTTCGATTCGGCCGAGTTAGGTAGGTAGGTTCTGGTCAATCGAAATTTGGGTCAATCAAAATTTGGGTGAATCGAATTTGGGGCAAATCGAAAATTGGGTGAATCGAAAATTGGCCAAATCGAAATATGTAACATACATACATACATATGTGTATCAAAAAATTTGAATATTAAATAATGATTGGCCCAGAATTATTCTTCATTCAGATTCGGCAACAACGCATCGTTCGGGTATATTCGGAGATGGTGGGTGAATCGAAAATTGGGTGAATCAAAAATTGGGCCTAATTTATTTATTTATTCATTTATTTACTTCACTTAGTTTACAGAATGAATCCAATCATCATATGAGTATGTAAGTTCACTACTGCCGGATACAAAAGAAGAACGATCTAATTTGTTGAATCGATGTATGATGAATGTCGATTTTTGTACAATGGTCATTATAATTCCTACAGATCCTTTGTAATGGAGAATTTTTACAAACATTTGTGCGTGGGGTTGGCAAGTAAAAGGTTTTATCTGTTCGTGACGCAATTCTTGAAACGTGAAACTGGAGTTTATATGTCAAATAATGGTAGTCGCATAGGTTATTGATTGTTTTGAAAAGAATAACATCAGAATGATACTCTCATCGAATTTTCAGACTGTTGAATGAATGTCTCTCAAGTAAAGTTCTGTATGAAATGCCAATTTCAGGATATTAATTCGCCATCTATTCTGAATGACGCCGCTGAATTGATTCGAGGCTGTCGATACGAGTAATATTATTAGGACTCCAAATTATCGAAGCACATTCCAGCTTTGATCGAACAAATGCATAATACAGGCTCTTGAGAGTCGCGATGTCTCTAAAATCTCTAGAATCTCTAGAATACCGAACAATACAAGCCATAAGATTTTCTGGCAGCTGACAAAATTCGTTCGATATGAGGTACAAATGAGAGTTTTGGATCAAATACCACCCCCAGATCTTTGAACGTTTCTGCTCTCTGTAAGTCAGCATTATCAATAGTGTAGCTGAACTGAATCTGAGATTTTAAAGCAAAGGACATTATGCAACATTTCCCGGGATTAAGAAATAGCTTATTGGAAATACACAATTCATTGATTTTATCTAAATTATCTTGTAATAACTGACAATCAGCAGTATCTGAAATTCTGTGGAATATTTTCATATCGTCAGCATACATCAAACCATTAACATTAATACCATCCAGAATGTCATTGATGAATATGTTGAATAGCAACCAAATGCAACCAACCCGATCAATTTGGCTAAATATTTTGCTGGTCGTTTTTTTTTGTCGGTGAGTGTATTTTGTGCTGGAAATACTTCAGTACTTCCTTAAATGGACCGCCGGATCGGTTAACTTCATGTTATAAGTGCAATTGGACTATGTTTCTATATAAATCTTCATAGAAACTATCAGGACAACATAGGTATTCACCGATATTTGTCCTCAGTTATCAAAAGAAATTGGTAATCTTACCTCCATCACGAATAATCTGTTTTTCAAGTCACACAATCATCGCAAATTCGAGCACATTTCCGTTTAAACTGCACACAACACCAATTGACTCCGAAGCAAACATCACTCTACAAATCAATCGTGAGAACAGCCTACCGCGACCGACCGGATTCCGACGGTCATGTGTTTTATTCAGTAGGCTCTGCAAGGCCAGCGAACTGAAGTAAAACTGGATATTGGTAATTTCTAGCGATCCGCGGACTATTTGGATCATCAGGACGATCAGGACTGTCAGGAGTGTCAGGATAACACTGATTCCTGCTGGGTGATTCGCCAGGACGTGCGGTGTCTGCAAAAGGTGGCAGGCGAATGTAGCGAAAATAAAAATCGGACGGCAAGGCCACGGCAATACAGTACGTTCATTCGTTTTCGATAATTAGCCGTTGG